GGAGGGAAGTGGAGCGGTGATGGGACTCATCTATGTGCTTTACTAGTTTGATCTGACCTTTTTTAAAAACAAGAAACATGTTTCATTTTTAACTTAGAAATTTTTAAGTAAAATGAAAAACAATGTATGGCATTGGCCAACCAAAGATTGGCATATTCCTTAGGGTACAATTTGATTTGAATGAAAATTATTATTTATAAACATGAACGTTTAATTCTCTACTATTCTTACTGCTTTTAAAGAGATACTGGCATAGCTCTTAAGCTATTCTTAGCATGCAACTTGGTACTTTGGCATTATACTGATGTCAATCCAATTTAATATAGAAACTCAGGGACGAAATAAATACTGAGATGAGAAAGCAATGTTTTGTTGAAAACCACCACATAGCATTCCAAATTTCACACGTTCTGTTTTAGAAGCATCCTTTTTTTCTTACAAATTTTATCTTTAAAAAAGTATTGTGGAAAATGTCAAACATACAAAAGTGTAACAGTACAATGAAACCTCAGGAACCCATAACCAACCTTCCACAACTATCAACATTCTGTTAATGTTGTTTCAGTGACCTCTGTTTTTTTTCCTTCTAAAATATTCAAAAGCTAATCTCAACTGGTGTGGTGACTCACGCCTGTAATCCCAGCACTTTGGGAGGCTGAAGGAGGTGGATCACCTGAGGTCAGGAGTTCAAGACCAGCCTGCCCAACATGGTGAAAATCCATCTCTATTAAAAATGCAAAATTAGCTTGGCGTGGTGGTGCATGTCTGTAATTCCAGCTACTTGAAAGATGAGATAGGAGATTTGCTTGAACTGGGGAGGTAAAGGTTGCAATAAGCCGAGATTGCGCCGTTGCACTCCAGCCTAGGCAACAAGAGCGAAACTCCATCTCAAAAAAAATAAAAAATAAAACAAAAAAAAACCTACAAAAACCAAATCTCAGATATGGTATAAGTTTATCCATAAATATTTCAGTATGTATCTCTAACAGCTGCGGACACATTAAAGGATCCTGTTTCTCCAAAAATCTTTCCCTTAATGAATGGCTCAAGCCAAAACCTTGGAGTCATCCTTGACTCATCTTTCTCTCAGCCAATCCAACAGCCAATAATAAATAATTTGGAACCTTCACTGGATAATTTGGAATCTTCACTGCTACCACTGTAATCTAAGTTACAATCGTCTTTTACCTGTATTATGGCCACAGTTCCTTCATTGGTCTCCTTAATGCCCCTGCAACTTCAGTCTTTGTACTTCTTCCTGCTGCCTGAAATACTTTTATTCCAAAAAAAATTAGGTCTGTCTCTTCCTTGAGGTCTCCTGAATTTCATCCTATTAGAAAGACTTGCCCTGACCATCCTATCTATACCACAATACTAATGTTAGAAAATACTAATAAAGATGTTAACAACCACCATCCCTGCCGTTATTCTATTCTTCTGGCCATGATTTTTATCACCACCTGATGTATTTACAAGCTTATCTTCTGCTACAATGTAAGCTTCAAGAGGGCAGACACTTTGCTGATTTTATTCACTGCTGTATCACCAGTGCCCATAGTAGCCGCAAGCAGACATGCAGTAGACACTTAAATATTTAAGACTGAAAAGAAAATTATTTGATGGCTAACAGATTAGCATAAATTTTAAAACTTTTTCCTAAGGAATTTGAAACAAGGAATTAAAATTCTTTGGGAAGTACACATTTTGAGAGCTTTGCTAGATTTAATTTTTTATATCGAGTCTATCCACAATTTAAATCAGACTAAATTCTAGTAAATGTGTCCTCTTTAAGGGGTGTGAATTATATGTCTGAAACATATTTAACTGTATTTAAAAGAGTAGCATTATATAGTGTCAAATCCTCATAAGCATCTAGAATTACAGGTAATGAGCACTAGGACAAAAAAAATACCACAGGCTCTAGTCCTCTATTGCAGTCAATGTTAAAAGTGTACAAGTGTCTCACATCAAAATTCATTTCAGACCCTCAATCACTCATTCTTCTTGCACCTTGTCTTTGAACTATTAGAAGCTAGTGAATTTAAATCAAAACATTATTTTAACTATAAAGGTTCAATGTCTTTACAATATATCATATTTTAGGGAAGGAAGGGAAGAAAAGGGTTAAGGCAGCTAGCTTATTACTCACCATGCAGATTTTAGAACTTAGAAATCAAAAGCGAGAAGGAATTTCCCATCTCTAAAGTGTTACTTGCTTGTTGATATGGAAATGCTCAGATTGTACCAGATAATTTTTAAGGTCTCTCTAGGCCACAACATTCTATTATTCTAGCTATCTTAAATCTGGAATGCTTATCCCGGAAGAAAAAGCAGCTTGGAGTACTAGGTCAGACAGCACCTGGTTATTTACTAGCTGTGTAAGTTTCTTAACCTCAGTAAGGGTGCTTCCTCACATATATAAAAGGGGTTAATAACATCTATCTGGCAAAGTTATGGAAAAGACTGGAGATATGTCAAATGCATTGCGAAGTGCTTGACAGGTTTTTCATAATACAGGCAGCTATCACCTTGCCCTAGCTCTACTATTCTTTTGCCAGGGATAGTGCAATGTAGGATCAACTGTGCCAACAAAATTGGGGCAAAGGCAAGGAAAGTAGTAAAGCCACAAAACAGATTTACATTTCAGCACCAATTTGGTATGCATATTAGAAAATTATTTTTGTTTTCTTTTTACAAAAGAGAATGTTGTTGCTACCGTGACTATGCCATTAACTTAAACACCAGATTGTTTACAATTCATGTCGTGAAATTTACATCTGTTCACAGATTTACTGAGTCGGCATAATGTGGGTGATGACTGTGGGAAACGGCCCAAGTTCCTTAGTACTGACACTTCCTTGATTGCAGAATATCGAGAGGTAGTCAACTTCTTCCCTTAAAGTATATTTGAAACATACTACTGTGACTATAGCCATAAAAATTTCCCCGCATCTCTCCTTGATCTACAGCCGGTGCTTCCCATTTTGAAAAAGAGTGAGAACCCCCCAACCCTAGGTTTCTCGTGGTCTTGGCAAAGCCTCAACGCCAACTGGTGATCTCCATTTCCCCCGCGGGCTGCCAAGCCCAGGACAGTCCTTTCAGGGAGAAAGAGGGCCGGAGGAAACTGTGTTGGCAGCTCTCTGGGTTGAAGGACAGGAAAAGGAAACTCCCTTCTTGGACTCGGAGGGGAGGGTGAGAGACGAAAGGAAAGGGTGGGGGGTAGTGCAGGAATGGCCTGTGTCTCGATTACCCCAACGGACTTGTAAGCCTCCGCCAGCTCCGGGGTGGAGCACTGGCGTCGTGGGATTAGAAAGGCGGACAGTGCAGCCTTAGTGTCGTGCAGGGGTGGGAGGAAGCTCCCGGCCGGCCCCACCCCGCCTCGCCTCGCTTCTCGTGGAGCGGCGGTTGGGCAGGAGCGGGGCAGAAAACCGCCGCCGGGCCCGGGGAGGGGACCAGGCCGCGCCCATCTCCTAGGCCTCTGGCTGCAGCAGGCCCGCTGGGTGGTCAGCGAGGCCAGGGGCGCCGCGTCGGGCTGGGGTCCCCTCCCTCAACCTTCCCGGGCGCCGCCACCCCTTTTCCCCCCAGTACCAGGGTACCTGCACGGCGCGACTGAGGAAGGTGCCTGCGTCGGCCGCCAGCTTCTTCACGTTGAAGTCCATGATGTTCATCCTGGGCGGCAGCCCGGCGGAGCCGGCTGACCTAGCGGCGGCAAGGCGGAGGCGCCGCGGCCGGGCTGGGACGCAGGGCTACAGCGGCTAGGGCAGACGTGGTAGGTGGAGGGAGGCGGCGCCAGCCCCGCCGCCGCAGCTGTCGTTTCCGTGAAAGGGGTGGATGAAGGCGGGGCGAGGGAGGAGAACGAGCGCCCGCGGCGGCGGCGCCAAGGATGGGTCAGTCGGACCGGAGAGCGGCCGCTAACGTCGACGATGGGCCCCGTGGGCTAGCCGGAGATGGACCGGCAACCCGGCAGTGTGGAGCCGGGCCCCAAGGGGAAAGCGAGCGCGGGCCGCGGGGTGGAGCCTTTCTCGAGGTTATCGCGGGAACAGCGACCCCTTGAGGATTGCGGTGGCGCAGCCCCGAGGCGCGCTGGGAGCTCCGCCCGGCTCCTGTGGAGAAAGCGGCGAGGGAGAGCTGCAGGGTGTCGGCGCCTCTGCGTGCTTGCACTTAACCTCCGAGAACCCAGAGCGAACGCGACGCACATTTCTCTTTTTGTTTTAAGAGTAAATATAGGAATTACAGCATAGAATTACAATATCAGGAAATTTAAACTGACAGGTCCCAGTCACAGTATGGCGCCGCGCGACACACTTGGTCCCTGAGGCCTGGATGCCGCACAGCGAACGTTTGCGGAGTAGGGTTGGATTTACTGTCCCCCACCGAGCCGGTTGCTCATTCATTCAGCATAACTGAATACCTCCTGTGTGCCAGGCACTGAATCGAGTGTCGGAGATACCACGCTGAATAAGACAGTGTCCTGCCCTCAAGCTCCCGGTCGGTTACTTGACAACCTTCCGGGACCTCAACACTACGTGCCTACTGTGTGAAAGCAAAGTGCCAGGTGGAGGACACAAAGATGGCGAGCGACACAGCATAGCCCTTAACAATTAAGCGTGACTAATTTTAATAACAAATGAGAATATGATGTGACATCCGTTCCAAATCCTGTCATTTCAATTAACTTCTTAAGCATCCTTCACGATACAGCCTCTGCTTGAAAGGAATTAAAACAGGTACAAGCATGGAAGGAGACTTTGCTATCATATTTCAAGAATAAGAAAATGCTCTCTCTGTTTTGTGTGGTTGTGCAGCAGGCAATGAAATGAGCTCACATTCAGGCTTCCGTGTTTCACTGAAACCACAGTCACAGATGCAATAGATGTTAAAGGTGAAAGACGAGTGCAGTAAAAGCATTATGAGGACAAGAAGAAAACATGTAAATATTTGTGTTGTTTCATTCTTTGTTGTGGTGGCAGAAACAGCCCCCCTCTCTAAGGTAACTCCAATATAATGGAATCTCCCAGCTTTGAAATACTCCATGTCTCTAATTTTCCAGAAATATGGAAAAATAAATTTGTAATAAAAAAATCCTATTTCTCATTTATTGTCTATTTTAGATCTTTATGTGGAAAAGCAGTTACCCTCTTCCCAGAGCGCTGTTTTAAAAGTAGGTATATTTGCCATAACCTATGCTCGTCTCTACAAAAGGATCACACCACCGTGACCCCCATTAAAGAATTTCCCCTTGGCAAGATGGCGGCCTCAGCAGCGCTGTTCTCGCGCTTGCGGAGCGGGCTCCGACTCGGCTCGCGGGAACTGTGCACGAGGTTGGCGACGCCGCCCCTCCGGGCCCCAGATCAGGCCGCAGAGATCGGGAGACGCGGGGGCGCTAAGGCACAAGGGCCACAGCAGCAGCCAGGCTTAGAGGGTCCCAGCTGTGCCAAAAAAGTTGCGCTCTGGCTTGCTGGGCTGCTTGGAGCTGGTGGGACCGTGAGCGTCGTCTGTATCTTTGGAAACAACCCAGTGGACGAAAATGGTGCCAAGATTCCTCATGAGTTCGACAGTGATCCAATTCTGGTACAGTAGTTGCGCCGGACATACAAATATTTCAAAGATTATAGACAGATGATCATCGAGCCCACCGGCCCTTGCCTTCTCCCAGACCCACTGCAGGAGCCGTACTACCAGCCACCCTACACGCTCGTTTTGGAGCTCACTGGCGTCCTCTTGCATCCTGAACGGTCGCTGGCCACTGGCTGGAGGTTTAAGAAGCGCCCAGGCATCGAGACCTTGTTCCAGCAGCTCACCCCTTTATATGAAATTGTCATCTTTACATCAGAGACTGGCATGACTACATTTCCACTCATTGATAGCGTGGACCCCCACGGCTTCATCTCCTACCGCCTATTCCGGGAAGCCACAAGATACATGAATGGACACCATGTTAAGGACATTTCATGTCTGAATCGGGATCCAGCTCGAGTAGTAGTTGTGGACTGCAAGAAGGAAGCCTTCCGCCTGCAGCCCTATAATGGCGTCGCCCTGCAGCCCTGGGACGGCAACTCTGATGACCGGGTCTTATTAGACCCGTCTGCCTTCCTCAAGACCATTGCACTGAACGGTGTGGAGGACGTGCGAAACGTACTGGAGCACTACGCCCTGGAGGATGATCCGCTGGCAGCTTTCAAACAGCAGCAAAGCCGTTTAGAGCAGGAGGAGCAGCAGCGCCTGGCCGAGCTCTCCAAGTGCAACAAGCAGAACCTCTTCCTCGGCTCCCTCACCAGCCGCTTGTGGTCTCGCTCCAAACAGCCCTGAACTCCGGGCCTCCTCAAACTCAGTGCCGGGGTCCAGAGCCCCAGTGCTTCCAAACCAAAACTTGGGCCCCCACTGTCCAATAAAGTACATCCCAGACGCCACACCTATTGTGTCCCGAGAGTCTCCAGATGGGGGCATCAGGAGGAGGTCCGGGACTCTCGGGTCACCATCCCACAGTGGCTGATCGGCTGCCAAGCACAGAGTGGGGGCTTTGTTGGATCAGATCGTATTTTTCACCCTGGTCTGGGAATGTAAAAACCCTCGCTGTGTCAAAATAATAATAATAATAATGATAATAATAATAATAATAATAATAAATTTCCCCTTTAATGGTGGACACGGTGGTGTACCTGAATCCTCATCCTCAAGTGTTTCGATCTTCCCAGTCTTGGAAAAACAACAATGTTACTTCTTTCTTTTGCACCCTCTGTAGCTGTAATCCTGTTTCCCCATTCTCCATAAAACACTTACCTTATTTTCATATATCCTTATTCTTAGCCTTTGATACCTTTTTTTTTTTTTTTGAGACAGAATTTTGCTCTGCTACCCAGGCTGGAGTGCAATGGTGTGATCTCAGTTCACTGCAACCTCTGCCTCCTGGGTTCAAGGATTCTCCTGCCTCAGCCTCCCAAGTAGCTGGGATTACAAGCATGCATCACTACGCCCGGCTAGTTTTTTATATCTTTAGTAGAGACAGAGTTTCACCATGTGGGCCAGGCTGGTCTCGAACTGCTGGCCTCAAGTGATCCGACTGCCTCAGCCTCCCAAAGTGCTGGGATTACAGGTGTGAGCCACCGCGCCCAGCTGATTCGCTTTCTTTACAGAGAAAGTATAAATCATCACTCTGTTTGGCAGAAGCCTCTTGAATCAAATTTCCTTATTTCCACCTCCTGTTCTCTCCACACTCTTTCCTCCATCATTGCCAAATGTTTCAAAGGAATAGTTGCCTCAGGTGTTCTGAGTAGAGCCACTGCTCCCTTAATCTTGGCTGCACATTGGCATCACCTGGAGAGTTTAAGCAACCACTGATGCCTGGATCCAGTCCCAGAGTGCAGACTGGGCATTGGGATGTTTTAGGAGTTCCTCTTGGTGTTTTTAATGAGTGACCAAGGTTGAGAACTAACTTGTCACCCTCTAGAACTTGCTCCATCACTCTCTACCCTTTGCCTACAGATTGATTCTATTTCTCTTACCAGATATGAGTCCCTTAAGGGCAGTGTCCATTTCCTATTTATTTTTATATATTTTATGGTTTGCACTGGAAACATAGTGAATTCCCAAATGATTTAGTAAGTGAAGAAAGTAATCAAATCAAGATGTTTACAGTGCTAAGCTCTTTTGTGACACCATCACCCCGAACCTCAATTTCCAACTACCTATTTATCCATAGATTCAATATTTCCAGTGGCAAGTCTGTTGTAGTTTGCTTTTCCTGAAAATTCTTTTCTTGGGTTTCCTATATTGATAAATTGAATCATACACACCAAATCACCTAAGCCAGAAATCAGAGTCCCCTTTGATTATTTCCTCTTATTTCCCACCACCAATTGATCTATTCTGGCAATTTCTTCTCTGAAACTGTTTCCTATTTCTCATTTTTATCCTCTTTTTAAAAACAATTTTTTTTAACTTGAAACAGTTTACAAACTAAGAAAGCTGTTGCAAGAATAGTACAAAAACTTCTGTGTACCCTTTGCCTAGAAACCCCACTCAAACTTTGCCAATTATTCCAATGTCTTTACAGCAAAAACATCCCAGCCAAGAAAGACCATGTGCTGCATCCAGTTGGCATGTTGCTCAGTTCTCCTTCAGTCTGGATCAATTCTTCAGGCTTTTCTTGACACTATTCCTTGTCCAGAGTTAGCCACTATTTTTAAATTGTTATGATTAATATCTATTGTTTTTGTACTTTCACTGAATTTGTATGTTATTTATAAAGGGTACTACTATGTTATATTTTTAAACTGCATAAATGGTATCATATAGATAAATCCTTTTGCATTTAGGGGTCTAACACTTATATTTGTATATTTGATGACTTTTATTCTTTGTGGATTGATTCCTTTTGCTTTGTACATTGATTCCTTTTCACTTTTTTTTTTTTTTTTTTTTTTTTTTACGGCTCATTTTTAGTGATGTAGAAAAAAAATGTTTCTTCTGTCAGAGACCTGTAAGGTTATCACTGGCTAGTGAGCAATTTTTATATGAATTTCTTTCTTGGCTTGGAAGTTCTAAGATCATTCAGATATTATAAATTTGAACCCAGATCAGTGGGAGTACAAACTATGATTCAAATTCTCAAGGGAGATAGATCTGCCTGTTTTTTTTTTTTTTTTTTTTTTTCTTTTTCAGAGCTTGTGCCATGACAGAAAAGCTTCTTGCTATGCCAGGGAGTGAGTTTTATCTAGTCTACCATTTCATTGAGGGTACAGAATTTCATGAGTTTTTAACTTGTGTGTGTGTGTGAGGTTATGAAGTTGGGGGACAGGGTGTGCTCACACTTAACTGATTTCTGCTTGCACCAAGGGCCCATGGTCTTATCACAAGTTACCATGTATTTTTAAAAATTATAAAGGCCTGGTACAGTGGCTCACACCTGTAATCCTAGCACTTTGGGAGGCTGAGGTGGGTGGATAACTTGAGGTCAGGAGTTCGAGACCAGCCTGGCCAACATGGTGAAACCCTGTCTCTAATAAAAATACAAAAATTAGCCAGGTGTGGTGGTGGGTGCCTGTAATCCCAGCTACTTGGGAGGCTGAGGCAGGAGAATCACTTGAACCCAGGAGGCGGAGGTTGCAGTAAGCTGAGATCACACCATTGCATTCCAGCTTGGGCAACAAGAGCGAAACTCCATCTTAAAAAATAATAATAATTAATGAAAATTGACAAATGAAAATTGTATCTACTGTATTGTATACAACCTGATTTGTAATATGTATACATCTTGGAATGGCTAAATTGAGTGACTTGACATATACATTACCTCACATACTTATTTTTATGGTGAGAACACTTAAAGTCAGTTCTTAGTGATTGTGAAGAACACAACATGTTGTTAACTACAGTCACTATGTTGTACAATAGATCTCTTGAACTTATTCCTCCTATGTAACTGAAATTGTATATCCTTTGACCAATGTCATCGAGCTCCCTCACTCTCTCCCAGCGCTTGCTAACCACCATTCCACTCTTTGCTTCTATTGAGTTCAACTTTTTTAGGTTCCACATTTAAGTGAGATCATGCAATATTCATCTTTCTGTGCCTGGCTTATTTCATTTAGCATAATGTCTTTAAGATTCATCTGTGTTGTCACAAATGACAGGATTTCCTTCTTTTTAGAGGCCGAATAGTTTTCCATTGTATACATATATCACATTTTTAAAATCCCTTTATCCCCACATGGATTTAAACATTCAAGCACCATCCTCATTCAATCCTTTCCCCACTCCAGACGAGGTCATATTGTGTGTTCAAGACCCTGGTGTCTAGTTTATTTTTTTATTTCTGCCACCTGAATATTTCCCTGTCTTTTTTTTTGTAAGCTCAAGTATGCCTTATTATTAATTAATTAATTAATTTTGCTGCTCTTTACCCAGCATTTCTAAGTATTTGTAGTAGAAGAGTTTTCATGTTATCTAGTCTGTATTGGTTAAGGATTGGTTGTGTTCAGCTCAAGTAACAGAAACCTAACTGTAGTGACTTACCCAAATACTGGTTTATTTTCTCACCCTCTAAGAAGTTCAGAGGTAGGCAGTCCTCTGTGTTTTTGTTTTTCTATTCTTATCAGGTAGCTTTCATCCTCATGTCTCAAGGTGGCTCCTGTAATTCTAGGCATTAAATATGTTTTTAAGGCAGAAAAAAGATGAAAAGTAAAGGCAAAGGTACATGTCAACTGAGTCTGCTTCTTACTCCTTAAATCAAGAAAACAGCTTTTTCATAAACCCTACGCAGTAAACTTTGGTTTACATCTTATTAGCTAGAATTGGGTCGTTTAGTTCTCCATAAATGCATTAGAGACTGATTAAGGAAATGTGCCCTGTTAAAAAATAAAGTATTTTAATTTTTTATATCTTTAAAAAATCCATGTCAAAAATGCATATCTATCTATCTATCTATCTATATGTATCGATACATATAAATTCAGTTGAAAGTACACAATCATAATAGAAATTGGTATTTTATTTTTAAATCTTTCTTTATTTTTTAGACAGCGCTTATTGTCATCCTGAACAAAATGGGGTTTCTGTTAGCAAGGCAGAAAGAGAATAGTTATAGGGTAAGCAACTATCAATGTCTGCCATGCT